CACCGGTACAACAGAACAGGCTTTATTGACCAATCAGAAGCCAGAGCCGCGCGTCAGGCGCCCTCCATCCGAGTCCTCCGCGCTGGTCACGCCGCTCATTATATACTGCTCCTCAGTCGTGTCCTCTGGTTGGCTGCCTTCCTTTCCCGCATGCCATTGGATCGCAGAGCGACACGTGATTGGATGAGGCCAGGTGGTCCAACATGTCTGCGCCCTAATCCGACGCCACACCACACCACTGTAGAATACCCGTGCCCTAATAGGAAAAAGACTGGTACAACTGAACAGGCTTTATTGACCAATCAGAAGCCAGAGCCACGCGTCAGGCGCCTTCCATCCGAGTCCACCGCGCTGGCCACGCCGCTCATTATATACTACATTCATCCATGTCCTTCTCTGGTTAGCTGCCTTCCTTTCCCGCATGCCATTGGATCGCAGAGAGACACGGGATTGGCTGAGGCCAGGTGGTCCAACATGTCTGCGCCCCGATCCGACGCCACACCACATTACACCACAGCACCACCGCACCCCACAACACCACATCACACCGCACTACACCACACCACATTACAATGAGAGACGAATCGAGTGATCAATCTATTTCTTTTGCAACAGGTGGGTTCGACCACATTATTCGTATGTGGCAACCGAGCACCGGGAGGTACATTCAAGGATTTGACCACAATGATTCCCAGGTACTTGTAATGTAGTCACCTCCCGCAAGTTGTGTTTCTGCCTACACAAGCTTGTTGTCATGTAATAGCGGCAAATCGCTCCTACTAAGCTGATTAGAATATCCACTGTAAACTCGCCTTACTGAAGAATCCCTTATTAATTGTATTAAATGCCAGTACTTTAGTTTGATAAAAGTGGTAGATATTAAGCATTTTACGTCTTTTTAACTATACATTTTTAATTACTTATCGGGATCTGTTGTTGTGCTGTGATAATGTTTGAGATTATCTGCAATTTCAGTGTTTTGAGTCCAGCCTCCTTTTGACCATTTATTCTCCTATACCCTATATCTTTGAGTTTGTTTTGCTTGCATTTAAAGTTTATATTGGTTGTCGAATTTCATTTTCTTAGGTAAACGCCCTTGCATTTACAAGTGATGGAAGCTATTTGGCTGCTGCTGGTTTTGGAAAAATCCGCATTTACGACGTCTTCGGGGGTGCCAGTCCCGTGACGGTGCTGGCGGAGTTTTCGAAGAACGTAAACGTAGTTGGGCATGATTTGAGAGGCAACTGGATGTTTTCTGGAGGTGAAGACAAGGTGGCCAAAATTTTCGATTGGAGAAATCCCACTCACAATTCTCGAAGTGTTACTGGAACCTGTAATGTACGTCTTAACTTACAAAAAGGGCTCTTAATAGCCTGTTACCTAGTTCTGTTTTCCTTGACAAGCTCTTTAATGGTTGTGTGACAGTATTTTTTAATATTTTTACGTCAAATAAGTGAATATTCTCATTATAAAACAGAAAATTGGTGTGCATGTTTCACAACAATATTATTCGATTGGTTACCGCCATATTATTATTAATATTATTATTTTAATGCATTTTGCTATTGAGATATCACTCATTCTCTACCACACGTAGAGTTCGTCGAGCATCAATTCCATGGTCCTTCATCCAAATCAGTTGGAAATCCTCTTCAGCAATGATAACGGCGAGGTATATTTCTGGGACTTGCGCAACGGTCAAGTCAATATTATGTGTCCGGACATTCGAGGAGGCCCCGTTCACTCAATTGCGATCAATGCCGAAGGAACGTCCCTGGCTGCAGCGAATGCCTCTGGGTGTATTATTGTTTGGTCCCTTGCCTGCAGTATGGCCTTTAAGCCCACCAAAAAGGTGAGATAGAATTACTCAGGGCCTTTGCTTGCTTGCAATATTTTGCTTTATATTAAAATATTCTGAGGGCCATAGGTCGTTACTTCATTTTACTCTCTGTGTGGTACAGATTTTTGGGGGCTGTTGTTACCTGTGAGATGTTCTAGTGATTTGTGAACAAGTGGCTATGTGCCCACAGTTATATACCATTTTAAATCGCGATTTTAAAGGAGTAACTAAACTACCCAATGAACGAATTTGAGGCCTGCAAATTTTTTTGTCTCGTTGGATGTTGTTGTTCTAATGGTAGCTGTTTCTCGAGCAGTTAATTCATGATTTATTCTGAATCCTCATTTCGCAAGTTGGCAAGGCGATTATGCATCTGGTTCTTTTGGTTTGATTACAGCATAAAGCGTAACATTAGGCTTGGAACATGAGTACCTGCATGCATTTTTTGCAATAAATTTAATTTGGTCATGCTATTTAAAAAAGTGCGAGATGTTCGTAATTTTTGTCTAATAAGGCTTTTTGAGAGCTCATTGCATAAATCAGCATTGCCAGGCTCGGCAGAGTTAATTCGAATTATTTTTTATCGTTTGGTGTTTAGTAGAATGGCGTAAAAGTATCTCGTTTCTGAAATGTGTTGAATTCGAAAATTTATCGAACGTTTGCAAACTTGTTGTAGACCATGAGTCACAGTTATTCCTAATTTTTCCATGTGCGAATCCGTAGCGAAGCAGTAGCCAGCTATTGTTTAAACGTGGAGCCGCCTTCTTTGGGCTTTTGATTGGCATTGTTTATGCTTTTTGCGTCCCCGTTTTCGCGTGTTTTGTCACATGTGACTTATATAGTTAAAGTAAGAACCATTTAGATAAATTTGACAAAGTTAAAAGTAAATATAATATTCTTAAGGCATTATCTTGTTTTAGTGTTAATCAGACTTGTCAATAAGCACGAGAGAAAACTTCGTACATTCAAAGTAATGTCAGTTATGTTTACCACTCGAAGCTTACCAACGGGAGAGATCGTTCGAATCACAATACTTTGCCGTTAAGCCCGGAAAAATATTCACGGGACGACCACGATAGTATATTATGTATTTTCAACTGTCTCTTAACTGCCGAATCGTTAATCGGCGCTTAATGGTATAAAACCGATAAATGTGACAATCGGTTCAATCAGAAGGTAGCCCTTCACCGCAGACCGATTACTGCAATTCGAATATGATGTATAGTAGTATCAGTTATGTTGTTGGATTAGGCACCGTTTTTTAACGTAAATTGTGGGTTATACAATACCGAAGTTTGCGATGTTTGTGTGGACTTCTGATGTAATTTGTGCGCACTGTCCTAAGTTATCCGGTATGCTGTTTAATGTCTTTGTGTAAAGGCAGTTTCGCTTTGTTTATGTACATTTTCTAATACCTGAAAATAGCATTTTTGAAGAAGTATAGGAAATCGACCATCGTTCAAGTTTTTCTGTCCCCATTATTTGCATTTATTCTTTGTAGCACAGTTCCAAGGTTCATTCCTCTTACGCCCTAAAGTGTGAATTTTCCCCGGACAGCACACTTCTTGCGACTTGTGGAGCAGACGGCAAGGTAAATCTACTCAGGACGGCAGACTACAGCGTGACGGGCTCTTTGCGAGCAAGTACGGACCGCTACTGGGCGTGGGACTGTGCTTTCTCAGCTGACTCCCGCTACCTCGTCTCGGCACACTCGGACGGCATCGCTCGTTTGTGGAACCTGGAAGACAGTCAAAATAATGGCCTGGTGTCGGGCACCACAGTAGAACCCCGACTGGAGTATAAAGGACACCAGCGAGCGGTTACGTGTCTCGCCTTCCGTGACCAGTCTCTTGCTGGTTGTACACCCTAGGAACACGCTGCCCTCCCCCTGCTCTACTTGTAAATATTGTGTCCAGCCGTTTCTCTTTTTTTTCATTGGTATCTTGTCAAAAATTTTCAGGACTTGATCTTTTGCAGTCGAGTAATTGATGGTTTAGTGGGATTCTTGACTGCCACATTTTAAAGGGTTGGCTTTATCTGAAGTGGTGTGCTTTTGTGTCTGGCGTCGGTCTGTCCTCCATGGACATTCATGATGCATCTTGAGGGCTCATTAGCCATTTACTGTAAGATAAAAGGCTCGTGAACTCGCGCAATCGGTCGCCAGGTCAATCCAGCATCCGATACGCCCCAACAAGTATTCTACGTTAAGAAAGGGCTAAGCAATGATCAGCGCCGTAGTAAGACATAAGTACAGGACGGGTTTACAGGTTATGCAACTTTTGTTGAATTGATGGAAGTAGCCCTTCTTTGTTTAAGCTTAATGTCAATTCATTTAACACCATCATTTGTGTGAAGTTTATTCGGACGGGAGACACAAAACCGCGGTATTATTTTTTGGTTTTTAACGGCATATTTCGCCCGTAGTGTAGGAATTGTTTGCTGGTGGTAGCAGGAATGCAGTGTGGTCCTGTGGCCCGACCCAGAACGCACTTTGAGCACAGAACCCGCCTTCATTGGATTACATCACAAGCCTATTAGTTCGTTAGCTGGAGCTAGTAGGAATATGTCGTACCTTTAGTAGCACCGAGGTCTAGTATTTACGGGATCTAATTACGGTTACTAAAGATAATGAATTACTAATGCCAAGGGTTGGCTTCACACTACTTAATTACGATTTACCAAAACACAAAATTAACCAACGGAATAGTATCTTATTAAGCTACTGAGATCGGTCTTTTATTGTACAAATTCAAAAAATAAAATGTGAATGAAATCGTCATTATAATGGGGGATTTGTCCTTTCTCGGGTATAAATTTGCCAGAATTCATAGTAAATAATCACAAGGTTGACCTTACACGTCAAGTGTAGGCAAAAATTTATGGTGTTCTCCTTCTTCTTCAGGTGAAAGAGTTTGTGGCTGGCCTTCGCCCTCTTCCGTTTCGTGGCTGGAATGCGCGGAACCCAAATCACGAGTGTGAACATCCACCTTGACTTCGCTAATTTCATCGACAGTTTCAACAGCCGGGTTGTCTAGAGGGAAAAATACCCACTCAATCATCGACCTACAAGTGACCGAGCTTTCAGTAAAGTGGTTCGATTATAATCATGCAACTTCGAAGTATGTGGTCACAGAATTCCCCATTGACATATAAATCTCGTCAAAATTCTGACATTTTACATTTTACCCCGTTACCCAACCAAGATCACGTTTTGACACAGCGTCCTTCATCATTTCGACTTGAAATATCGCGGGTGATGAGATATCGTGAGAGATTTTAATTCCGCCAAAAATTCAAGCCCTTCTGTTTTCATTGCCGGAGTTAAGCGAAGTAAATAGCGGAGTTGAACGGTCATCTACGCCGGAAGACAGCAGCTTTCGTGGGCACAAGTGAAACATCACTAGCATATTTTTGCGTGCCTTATCGCTTAGTGGGCTATGCCGTCGATTAATTTAGGGCCACCTCGGGTAGTAGGCCTGCTAAAATATTCGAAGTCGTATCAAAAAGCGGGACTGGTCGATGAGGCGATAGTTTCATTAATAAAATGAAGACTAGGACAAATGAGTATAACTCACGTTCAGAATACTGAATCGAAATAAGTAATGGAGTGCTTAGTGCGTAATTTGTAGTGCGGCACCAAGACACCGTTTGCGCCTAAAATGTTACCCAAGGGCGGCAACACACTAGAATATGCGACAAAATTTCTCACTCATTCACACTTTTCGAATCTCCCATTATTTGGATACAGTTTTAAGAAAGTTTGGTTGCCTATTTCATCAATGAGCCACAGACCAGTTACCTATAATACCTTGTTGACATAGCGTAGGAGCAATTCCAACTTTTGGATAAGTTGTTTTCCGAGACCTACGTCCCACTACTGTTGGGTTTTTGAGACGGCAGTTTTGCGTCCATGTTATTCGAGGAATAAAAAGCACTGTTAAACGAGGAATGTGAATGGCTGGTCACGCAGGACTAAGAACAGGGACGACGAAATAGTGGATGAGGTTCTTCACCCTTGCTTTCAAGTGCTCGAATAAAAATAACATCGCCTAAAATGAATTAGCACCGATTGAAATTACCAAACGATTAGTGAGAAAACTCGTCGACTAAGTAAGGAGCGTGATCTAACTAATGAGATTGAAGGGCGCAGAAACGACTGGTACAGCTCGCGATAACTAAGACTACGTAATGGTACTCTTTCGAACATAGGAATCGTCGTGGTAACAATTGTCTACCACGTGAGTGGGTGAATTGGTGGATGGAGGGAGCGACCGCAGAGAGCACGCAAAAAAGGTTACGCACATCTTAAAAGATCTGATGCGGATGAGAATTGACTACAAAGGAATAGTACGGAGGTGCATTGGATTTTATCGATAAATGGCGACATGATCAACACTAATTAGCTAAGGTCTAATTGAATTCAATGATTATTTCAAACAAATCGTGAGATATTAAAACATTGTTGACGTGAAAAATAACGTATGAGAATGTTGTGAGTCAGCAATCGAATAACTTAGAGGCGTCTGACTCTTGATTAAATAATACGCAAAAAGCGTAAGAACCCTAGGCGAGTGAAAAAGTGTAATTTAGGATTAGATGCACCAAAGCAGTAAATAAGCACGACTGGATGTCCTGACAAAGAGGAAAGAGAAGGAATGGAGTAGAACAGACCACTGCACCACAAAGATCAGGATAAGCAAGAGGACTCAAACACATCAGCGGAAAATGTGAACGGACCGGCAGGTGGGGCAGGTGAATATCACCAGACAGATGAAAAAACACGTGTAGAATTATGCACTTACACTTAAATCAATTAGAAATGTGGAGTACTTGGACGGTTACAAACACCTGTGCTATAGAACGAGTTCAGCTAAATAAACTTCTTAGAAAAGCACACTTAACCCTGGATTTCAGTGAAAAAAGAATAAACATGACAAGATCTGCTATGCTCATATTCGTGAGCTACGTGGTCGATACAAGTAACATCATTAGGAAGCGACGCTGTGCATACTTTAGTCCACGAAGCCCACGATTTCGGAGGAAACACAGAATATGCTCCTGTCGCCACTTTTGCAGGTTGGGACGCAAGACCTTTTTATTTGACTACACAATTCTAACTTTTTGATGGACTATCATGTTATTCGTCCAAAATGGTTTAAACGACTTGCCGTAGTACATTAAAGAGCACGCAATGTGAAAGACGAAACCTTGCAATAATACAACATATAAAATACTACAGATAGAAATCAAAGCATAAATAGCCAAGCGTGCAAGGTTGTTAAGTTGTGCCTGGATAACTGTCATTTTTCATCATTAAACTAAAAATGTTACTCAACGACAATCGCAAAAATTGTGCACTATGACCAGAAGCGTGCACAATTAGCAGTGAAGTTATGGCGTTGCCATTAAGCGAATTTAACAACAACTTAAGATATTTTCTCGTCAAAACAAAAAAGCACGCCTGGGACTACACCACTCTGGCTTGCCCTACGCTTGCAATGAATAGAATGGTCATAAAATTTGCCGTGTTGTTCTTGTTTGCACCTTTGTCCCACTCTTCTTGTTCTGGGTGAGTTGGGCTTAGAATTTGTTCACTCAGTAGGCAGTGTTCTACGTGGCATTACCCCAGAGTATATATATATATATATATGCGTAGGTACATCGCCATGCGACTATGATGTTCAGACGAAGTCATTTTCCGAAGCTGCAAAAACAAGTATTGTTTACAATGGCTGACAAAGCATGTGCTACACAGTTCGTTGGAGGCCAAACAGAGAAATAAAGATTTCAAGGAACCTTAAATCGGGTGTGAAAACATTTACTATAAAAACTGGAATTTGATTTCTCACATTTCAAAAAATGAAACATGTTCGTGGCACTTTATAAAATGTCTCCAAAAAACATTAATATCTTGCAATTAAAAGAGCTCTATTTGGGAGAGAAGACTTAATGCAAGGCGAATAAGGAACAATAATTCCTACAACTTGGGGAAGTATAGTTTAATGAAATTTTATTTTATGCCACATTTGAAGTTAATTATGTCCTACTGGTGCATTCGTGTGTTTATCGGACGATGCACGTAGCAAGTTGACCCTCTCTAACCAAGTGATCTTAAAATGATGTTTTGCAAGTGCAAAATCCGACAACAGCTATTCAGGTATCAGTATCTGAATGTTGGAGACATTACAACAAACTGCCTATACATAATCACGAACAAGGCAAATACATAATACCACAAAATTATTTGCAGTGCAAAAGAAAATCCACTGACCAATGAAGTTATCAACATATTAAAAATTGTAAGAATACGAAATACCCCAAAACGGAATTTAAACGGCGATTTCACACAGATTCCCTTCTCTTAAAATGTGTGGCCGAGCTGCTTTTACAGAAAAAGGCCACATCCAGTAGAAAACAGTCAATACGAATGTGGTAGAACTGATAGTAAGGACGAAGTTGGCTAATGCACCGGATTGACGGGAAACAGATGATACCAAAGCTACCTCCATTGAGCAAAGTGCTAAAAGTAGCAAAGGGTGGTAGTGGACAGAATATACAACCTGGCGCGTTTAATGCAAGCAATAAAAAGTAGTTTTTCTTACAAAACACAAAGTTTTTGAGCACGCAGCGCGTTGAAAGAATGTGTTATGGGCTTAAATGTAAAGAAAAATGGATCAGTGATAGTTTTTTAGAAAACGCGGATATCCAAAAGCACGAACACGGCAAACACTGAGTTTTCTGATGAAAACACCCGAAAAGTGTGAAAATAACAATTGGAATTGGGTCTGGAAAAATGCACACTGTCCTTCGTAAAGTAAACGACCACGTGCCTGTAACTTGAAACGACGAAACAATTGGAAAAAAGAATTCAATGAATAAAATTACAATCCCTGTGCCTGAAAATCCTCCCAAATAGCATTTCAGTGTTCTAATGCGGCTTAGACCTTGAGGTCCACCAAAGAAAAGAGGCTAGGAATGGTGAGCTCACCAGTTCACGAGAGGCAATTCTAGGAGGAACATAAAAGTCACCGATTTACTGGGATTCCCTGCAGAACTCAAGACACAGTGAAAGGAGGGTGAGAGTTGATCTAGAAACCAGTCTGTTGTTTTCGAGTTAGACACAGAGAAGTCCATCATGCGTAAAATTATGGGGCGACAGTTAAGCACAAACAACGGTGGAACCGGAGGCAGACACGCGGATGGCGTGCGCACAAATGCAAGTTTATAGTTTAATCTGACGAATGCGGGCAGATAGAAAACGCATTTCGATGTTTTGTATAGTGTGAATGAAAAAAGCTTACAAGTACAAATGGACTTTAAGCAGAGCAAAAGCATTTCAAAAAGTGCCGTAGGGCACGTGTAAAAAAGTTCACGGTTTTTCAGCTCTATTAGATGAGACAGCGTCGTTCAAATGCAATTCAATTCAGTCGTGACTGAGATCCATTAAAACAAACTTCTTTAGAGCGGGATTGATCAAAGTGGAAGTTTGTCAAAAAATGATTCTGATCAACACCTTGATCTAAGCCAATCTTAGGCATAAACAAAACCTTCGCGAGCAAGAATGCCATGCTCTTCAAAACAGAAGGATCTGGAAAAATGCGAAGACACTAGCCAGAATAAAACTATGAGACTACATTCGAAAACTTGACCACTTTGACGATTTCCAATATACAAAATCCAAAGTGTTTCACACGAGTGCTGATTGTAAAAAAAAACAGTGTAATCTGTATGGCTCCGCGTTCGTGCATAAACGCAAGCCTATGTTGTCATCATTTAATTTCAAAAAAAGATCAGAAACGCCAAAAACAACTTTTTAATTTACCGTATCCAAGCCAGGCTGTGCCATTGGAAGGTAACTGTCCTCCAGATAGCCATGACGCGGATGGTGCGGATTTACTTAAAAGAGGAGCACTGTCATCATCTCCACGCACAGTGTTTGTTTCACATGCGGAGGCTGTATCTATGGGTTGAGGCGCCTCAATTGTCTCGGAACCAGTACGGTCAACTAACGAATTAGATGGCTGGGCACTTTCTTCATCCTCCTCTTCGACGTTATTATCGTCTGCATCTGTGTCCACGTCATCGTGATTCCGGTTGATACGATACTTACACACAGGACAGGAACCCTGACGTCGAAGAAGCCAACGGTCAACGCATTTACTGTGATAGGCTGGAAAATAGGTGGTCATAAGGTTAAAGACGAAAAATTTATATAGATTTATACAATACATCATATCATACACATTGGTGTGAATAACGTCTGAATAGATCATGAGTGTTGCGACACGCTGCGAAAAATTCCCATCTTCCAGTATGATCAATAAATTCGTGAAGACCAAAGTAGACTTTTGCAGAGCGAAAATTTGAATGAGTGGACAAGCCCAAAGACTTGGAGCAAGCACGCTATTCGTCAACACGCAATTGTTTATTGCAAAATGAGAAATACGTACCACCGACTTAATTGAAACTTCAGAAGATCTACGAGAACAGCTAGGTTTTGTGATGCATAAATTCAAATCCCCATTTATTGCGGTGTCGATATTCCCATCTGAATATACAGTTAAAAATAAGTTCAACACGTGCTTAACTATGAGAAAAGCAACAAGCCACAAACACTGAGATAGGAATTTTTGTTTATGTGGTGGCTGTAAAATAGCACCGCAAAACCACATAGCAGAATAAAATACACAGAACCAAAATAACTATCCAAAAAACGTGTTCGATTCAAAAAAAGAAAGAAAATTGGGAGAAAACTAAATCCGCATTAAGGAGACAAGAGGGGAGTGAGTGCCCACGGATATCGAAAAGCATGATTACCATGGTGACATGGAAGCACCCGGAGTTTGTCTCCCATCGCGTAATCTTCAAGACAAATTGCACAGGTTTCGTATAGATTTTGGTAATCTAAAAGCAAAAAGGGATTGCACTTGGGATTTGGATACAATTAAACTGGAAATGAAAACTACGCGGAAGCAATATCAATAATGCTGTTTTTACAATTAGCACATATTTTCAGACACATTGTCTCAAGTAGTAGGAGGGGGGCGAAAACAACCGATAACAAGTTTTTAAAGATATTTTACCCTCTGAATATCTAATTTCCGGAAGTTTGTTGAGGCTGTCGCGGCTTAGTCGATTCTTTGACTGACGAAGGCACGTTCGAAAGACACGAAACGCCAAGAAAATTATGATGCCAAAAAATGCAAGCGAGAGTGTAATTAGGAACGGTACTAGATAGTACTCAATGACTGTTCCGGGGTTGGGTTTCATTCGAGCAAGATACCTACAAAAAGGGAGCAAAAAAACATGCTAAAGAAATTTTACACATTTCACGTTGCTGCATGACACATATCAACAAACTGAAAAAGCAAAAAAGAAGACAATATGCATGTTGTACAAATTACCCTGATAGATAGAGGTATTGAGAACGAATAGTATTTCCGGATGAACGACCCACCATAATTGCAGGAATGTTGACATTAAATGCTAAAATTATTACAAAATTAGGAATTACTGGCATTTGAACTCATCGGAAACACATAGTCGCTTTCAGTATTAACTATGATGGCTCCAGAGAAATTTGCTTTCTGGACAGCAAGAACCTTCTCTGCAAATGTACAGTCCCCACGATGAATCAATGCAAAAAAAATATCGCGGCCATTAGGTGGTGGCTTCACTAATTCACAAGCATTGAGTGGGGAGCTTTCGGAAATTTTTCCCTATCAAATTAAAAACATAATGATTGTCATACCATGGGCATGTCTTCAGTTATTACTGCACCGAAAGACGCTTCCGCATCTTCAAACTCAACGCTTACATTTCGTTGAGCAGATATCTAAATAGTAATAATTTATAGCATTAAGTACCAAAATAAGCGTAGAAGATGCCAAACTAATTAGGCTAGAAATTACAGATACAAATAAAAACATTGGCCAAAAAACACATTCGAAGCAAAGACAAAGCAACCAATCAAAAACATGAAAGGTGTTTTCGCTTGAAGCGGCTCAACAACAAATCTATTAAAATAACTCGTTTAGATGTTGCTTCATCATCTCAAGACACCACACTTTCACCTATGGTATTTACTTAGTGATACATGTGAAGATATGCATAAGCCTTTCGAATAGTTTGACTGTTTAAATTAAATATTCATTAAAAAGTGCATTATTCATCAAATTTTTACGATTCATATTAAAGCGACGCTAATGTTTTTGAGCATTTTTTGGATACTTTGACGTTTTAATAAAACGGGAATTATTGCACTTACTATTTCAAATCTTTAAATTTCTAGTAGATTTCAATAACATTAAAGTCAAATTGCTGTTTGTACCCGGATGCCTGCAATCCGTTTTTCCCTATCCTTCTTTTACTTCTTCTTATATACATTTTGGTTTTATTGATCTAATTTACACATCTGCATTCCTTTCGACAGCTTTGTTACTGAGCTGACTATTCAGTACATAGGAATGGGCTTGTGACAAGCCAATGTCGTGGTCACTTCACGATCACTAAATTGAGATGTTTGCAGTCGTAAACTTTTTAAGCTTTCATATCCTAAAGATTTTTTGCTTAAAAAATGGGTTGTCATTCGTGTTGCATTTATTCTGATTCACATCACTAAAAAATACAAAACAAAATATCTGCCTGCCTAAGCCAAATATACTTTGATTTGTTCCAAGAAAGCATGCGAAAAATCTTTAAAGAAATATTTAAACAGATGGTCTATGCATGACTCAATATTTTCAAAATTTTCATATATTATTAGCAGTCACATTTTTACTTGTAAAGATTAATTAGAGTAATTAGAGGAAATGTTAAAGCGTTTATATAAGTCGAGTTTTTATGCAATTCGCATCAATAAATGCTGGTTTTATAATTGAGAGCTTAAGTAAATTCATCCAGGACCTGATAAGTACCACCTCAAAACCTTAGAGCTCAGCCTCAAGCAGCAAAAACTTAGAAGTTTTTTCCGAAATCTACTCGCCGTTCATTTGAACAATAAACGACTAATAGTTTGTGCTACCGTTATTTATTAGTCCAATTTCGAAATTGAAGGCAACCAAAGACATCTTAGTGTAAGGATATGAGTTCATTTTTTACCTAGCACTTTCGAATAAATCATGCCTAAATTGACTGCTCTTCGCTAAACAAAAACAAGGTTTACCTTTTTTATAAGAAAAAGAACGTGCTTTATGTTTCTGGCATTAATTATTTAGCAGTCAGATATTTCGTTGACAATCTGTGCACAAAAATGGAAACTTTGTCCAAATTTCAGACAGAACTTTGACAATGTGTCATTTGTCACCATTGTGTTCAACGTCCGTGCAACTTAGATTATTAGATGCCAATTAGATGATCAAAATCTTGTTTAAATATAGTTTGAGTAATGAAATCACAGTTTAGTGTCACTTCGCTTTTATGTATGCAATCTTTTCATTCAAAAGAATGCAGCACATTTCATCGACATAAAATGCAGTCTCTAGTACATTTTGATCAACTTTCCAACCACTTAATCCGATCGCTCCGCCTTCGACACAGTGTTCCCCTTTTTTGCAACATGGCGGCAGCCGCGCGAATCCTCAACTACCCCTTCATTCACACTAATATTTGGATTATCCTTACGCCTAGGTCTCGATGTTAGCGCATGCATGACTTACACATCCGAGGTATAAATACACACGCGCAAACCCCACAAACGATACAACACCAACATATTTGGGCTTTGAAGTAAACGGGTTGCGTCCCGTCTTATCCGGTCTTTTTCTTCATCGCGGATATCAGGCAAGCGTAATCGGGCCAGGCTTAATTCCGTGGTTCTGGCGTGGTTCAAGACCACATGCTGGGGCCCAAAATATAATCACTCCTTTTTCTGCATGGTACTTCGTTTCATACGTGTGATCTCCAAAGTGGATCCTTTTAGTTTTTTTGCTAATGACAGTCTCAAATATGTGTAGTGTGCCTAAAAGTATAATCAGATTTTTTATTTAATCACGAGTTCTGTGATATTTTTTTCTAGATTTATCATTTTTTATCACAGTGCATAAACCACAAATTGCTGGTTTAAGAAAATACACTGCCATATATAAGCGAACCTTTTTTTATTACTTGTAAGGTTAATTATTAGTCCCATTATATGATCAAACATTTTTACGATCACATAAAACACTTTTATTTGCAAAATTTGCATTGATTTTTTGCCAAATGCACTAACCTTGGTCTTGAAGACCATCAGTATTTTCCTAGCAAAAATAAAATAACAGTCCGACATCAAGCTGGCCATTTGGCAACTTTTCGAGACAACCAGATAAAGCGATTTCAAATTTTTACTCTACCATAAAAAAATCTTTCTCACATTATTTTCATCTATGGTAGTGTTAATGATAAATATTAAGGCCACACTAAATTTAGTTTACTCCAGCCTTATAAAACATACTCAGGCATGTTGAATCACGCGGAACTCAGCTAATTCTTAATCATTGTGTTTTTGAATGGCATATGTGCTCACAACCAGCCAACCCGAGACAATGGCGAATTAGAAGCATTGTACGAGTTGAGGTGTGCCTAATGTAGTGGTCGCAATTTAACTACATTTAGCTTTTGAATTCCGCTTGTAGTAAGTGCTAAATGCAACACTGCTCTGCATACCTTTTCTCTACTATGGCTTGTGTATTCTGCACCAATGACCTCAACCGTTTTTCCCAGCATATGTCACTCAGGTGACATTGAGAGTTGCACAATGACCCGACTCTAGGTCAGATAAATATTTAGAAATTCCGATTAGGGAACCAAAACATAATGAATTCCTACCATTAGACAAAAGGCTCTGTTATTGTTGGAAATCACCACTGTCACACACGATGTCACTAGGTAGGTGTGCGAACTGCTTCTTAGTTTGAAGTACTAGATCTCAGTTTATATTCCCTTGATGGGTTTCTTGTTCATGGATTTAGGGGTTTAAGTTACCTGGTGAGCATACTTTTTGTTGTGTATATATGCATTTGTGTGGTAATCGAACGAATTGAACAAAACAAAACAGGTTGCTTGCTTGCAACACTCCGATGCTATTACTGACTTGTGCATTTCTCATGTTTCCTGGTCTGTATCAGGCAGTGGCACGAGAAGTAAATTTCATATTGTGAGACCTTTTTAGTGTTAAAATCTATTTAACCGAAAAGTTATTTTTTGTTTCCAATTGATGCCTTTAACCATTTTTCTTGTCGATGTAGAAATTATGATATTTAATTTATGGATAGACCCGCTCAGTGGTTGTCTTTTTTTTCTATATTTTTCTAAGCCTGAAAATTCGGTTATTCGTTGAAATAATTAACTCATCATAAGTTTACGCAGCTGCTGTAAACGATACCTGCATAAGGAACCATGATTCCATGGCTCATATACAAACACATAAGTCTATCAGAACTCACATACAGCTTTGAAAAATGACACAAAACGTTTTGACTGTATTATTTATGGTCGCCCATGTATGGTATTGTTTGTGGTGATTTACATATTAGCAGACAGTTAGTACTAGGAGCAAAACAATTCATAAGCTCAGTAATGATACACTAATATTTTAAATATTATCCAGGTAGTTTGCAAACACAAATGAAGTGTTGTTGAGGCTGAGCTTAAAAAATAAGAATGAGACAATTTTAAGAGTGCAAGCGGATTGACAAATTACCTGAGGTACTGCTTTTTTAACCAAACTTGCTATTTCTTATGTTAATGGCGTCAAAAATTAATCTATATCGTTTGGATCAGTGGCTGTGATTGCAGGTCTTTTAAAAGATTTGTGTGATTTGAAGTAAGATAAATATTCATCATGCAATTTCATTATCGAAGCTAGAAGTTAATGGATTTACATTAAACAGCCAGAGAATGCACTTAGATTTCTGTATTTTTTGTCAACATAAAATTACCCAGTTAAACTTTTGAGCTTGCTAATTTCTCGAGCGAAAATGTATTAGTGAGATTGCATACCTCTTGAGCTCAAATGTGAAGTTTGTGTTACTGTTGAAAGTGTGTAATATATATGTTTATACTTTACTCTACAGTCTTCATAGTTCTAAAATTATCCGACTCAGTTTAATTAATCCACGTGATGAGACATTTCAGACATTCTTCCAGCAAACTTTGGTCGCTTTTGCAAACTTTTTGGAAAACCATCAGTAGCAAACCTAACTCTATCGGTATTTATACCTGCGTGCTTTAATTTCTAAGAGGTGTGACTAAAGAATAAATTGAATAAGATTTAATTAGCTAATCGCATAATGAATCGTCCTGATAAAAATTTCATGGATTTGCAACAACTGAAAGTTGTCTTCATTTCGTTTCTAGTATTTAAGCACTAAATTTTATCGGGTTTGTTTCTAAATTAGCAAGTTACATGGGAAGACACCACTTTGCAGCCGTTTAAATAAGCGAATCAATTGTGCCTTGTTTTTGTTTGTTGGAGTGTCTCTGCCGACAGGTTGTTTCAAATTTCAGTGCTTTTTGTGATTATGGCGTCTAGTCGAAAAAAGATCCTTCTTAAAGTCATAATACTTGGAGATAGCGGGTAATGCTTTGTTATAATCTTTTTTATTTTTACTGTTTAGTGTTGGAAAAACTTCGCTAATGAATCAGTATGTAACTCAGAGATTTAGCAACCAGTATAAAGCCACAATTGGTGCGGATTTTCTTACAAAGGAGACTATGGTTGACGATCGGGTTGTAACTCTGCAAATTTGGGACACCGCTGGTCAAGAGCGGTTTCAGTCCCTTGGTGTTGCGTTTTATCGCGGCGCCGACTGCTGCGTCCTCGTGTACGATGTTACGATGCCCAATACTTTTAAAACGCTTGATTCTTGGCGTGACGAGTTTCTAATTCAGGCTAGCCCTCGAGATCCCGAGAACTTCCCCTTTATTCTTATCGGTAATAAAATTGACTTGCCAAACAGAGCTGTAAGTCCTAATTTTTGTATCATAAAAATGAGATGTACGCTACAGACCCCTGTTATCTTTTCTTGTCTACCTCATCGATAATTTACATTATTAGAAGAATTGATGTTGATATTTGCACTGATAAATGTTTACATCGTTAACCCTTCCTCCAGGTGTCTATTATGTTATACTTTGTAATTCTTGTATCCCGCTTCCTGCTAGCTTCAGCGCCAAAATCTGCGCAGGGATCTAGATATCTCCCATGTGTCATTACTATTTTTCTGTCATAATTTGTTTTGTTATCCCATAACAACTTATATGATTATAAGACCTAACTTGCCAAGTAGGAAAATGCCACTCTGATCCTTCGTCCCTTGTCGATTTTCCAATCTCAGCCTGCTCTTGTAGGAAAACAAAGCCCCAATTATTTAATTTAAACTTTCATTTACGCTTTTGTATTCTCCAGATAACTGACAGACGCGCAAGGCAATGGTGTCAAGCAAAGGGGAATATCCCTTACTTCGAATGCAGTGCCAAAGAAACGACCAATGTGAAACAGGCCTTCCAGGAAGTTGCAAGAGTGGCCCTTGCGCAGGAAACTGAGGTACGTTTGCGCACCACCTAAACTTTTTAACTGTTCGCAGAAAAATATTCAAGGTAATAGCTTTGGCATCCTCTTAACGTTATTGTCAATTATTTTTAAGATTTTGTAGTTATAATCAGTTTGTTTTTGCTGCGTGGTCAAAATCCTCTCACATGCAAACAAAAGCCAGTTAAATGTATTTGCGTGTTCCATGGCAGAGGACTTTCATGGTGCTCAATTTTTTTGTTTGTGCATTTCTCAGCAAAATTTATGTTGCTTAAAAGCATCAGAGCGCTCTTTTAGCCTTGAAAAAAGGTAGCCAAATCGCAGAGTAGTTTTTAACAATCTACATTTGCCTATACTAATTGTATTTCCATTAAGTCTCATGGAAAAGGTTCCTTTCGCATGCACTGAATTTTTCTCGAATGCTGCCTTTGAACCATAAAAGCGTTATAATGTTCCGAGGGCTTATTAGTTACTTTTGCCGTCAAATTTCATCTAAGCACTGTAGTCCTGACATTTTTACTGTCAACCCTACTATTCAAAGCAAATTATGCCTTTTTCAATTTATGGACGCTAATTTGGTCCTTAAATCCATCTTTCACAATTCTCAACTGGCTTTTCATCTTTCAACCGTAAGATCTACCTTCATTTAATGTAGGCGGTTGGTATTTTGATCTCGAGACGCATAGATTTATCCGTTACCTCCCGGCAGTGTAGCAGTCTAACTACAAATTAGCGTGCTTTCCCCAAACATTCTTGACCCTGTTTCTTTTCAACTAATCTAAGTACATCGATCATTTAGCAGATGTATTGGGTTTTACATTATTTCTGATAATTTTACTTGATATGGAGAAGTCGTAAACATGGGTTTTTATGTGCATTGAAAATTCTTAAACCTACTTCCTTTTTATTTTGATATGTTAAAGTATATAGCACTATTTTAAAACCTTTTGTTACCCTAGCATGCGTAGTCCACAAAGCTGCGCTTTGGGCATATTCGGGAAAGAAGTCGATTATATGCCTCTTGGTATTAATTAGCCGTGTGACAAACTTTGCAACTGATTTTACTGCATTCCAATCAAGTCAGTCTCGAATTTCATTAAGTGGCATATTCATAATATCAGCATAAAATTCTTTGGCCTTACCAAAAAAACAGAAGACGTGCTCGTCTCTGCCAAATTACTTTTCCAGAATAGTCCCACGGGCCGTTTCGACTTTCTGTTAATGCTCTTAGTTCGTGCGTTTTGGTGTCAGTCCAGAAATGTATTGCGAAAACTATTCGTCTATCTTTTTTGTGTTCATTTATTGCGTTTAACGAATTGAAGCTTGTGAACTAACCAGAATAAATCGTTTATCCACCAGCAGTTTTATTTTTCCTTAAGTTAAACAAATGAAACATAAGTATTTGTTCACATATAATTGTTTACCGTGGTACTCGCTTTTTGTTTGCAGCCGGACACAATGAACGACTGTCCTGACCAGATTCAACTTGGGGCCCCGAGAAGTGATCGTAACAGTGGTTGCAGTTGTTGATGTCGCACAATTGGGTCAATTATCTCCACCGTTTTCGTATCGACGAGAACATTCAACTGACATCCTCACCATTCAACTTGACCTTATCGCCTCATGAGCCAGTCACGTTTACCCTTTGATCGCTGTCATCTTTTTTACCATCTGATTTCCGTGTCCGCTATCCTACTTAAACAGATTTAGATCTCATTTTCGTGTCCATCCCATGTAAATAATTATGCAGTAAATCGATTTGGCCAATCCAGGGTCTTTCACGCTGACGGCTTGCATGTTTGTAGCAAGGCCCTGCCCTGGTACTATGTCCGATTACCGCTTTACCAACTAGATTTGTTTAGATGCCAGTGTTTTTGGTCCAAGAAAACTTGCTTTTTGAATCTGTCAAGGACCAGACTCATCCTGAATTTGTCTCCAACTCATTTACCTTTTGTAATTTTCCATAGACCAATTTGAACTGCAACAAAATTAAAATGTATCATTCAGCGGTCGGATTGTTGGGAATTTGAGTGGCTTAAAGGCAGACTGCGGAGATTGGCTGTAGGGGTGTCATTCAAATAGTTGCATGTGGTGTTTATCGTGGTTATAGTTGTCTCAAGGCAGAATCTTTTTACTATGGTCTTAACGGGTTGTAAGAATGTACAAGATCACGCTTAGCGTTTCTCCATGTAGACTTCACGTGTCTATGAGCTGTGACTCTAGAAGGCGATGTCACTTATGATAATCCAAAGAAATCTATTTGGGAAGGCTGTGGGGGCTGCACATATTGTATGCATGTATAAACATTTTAAGGTAACACGAGTATTTTTGTTTTTGTCCTCATCAAAACCTTTAGAGTTGTTCGGCCCTTCATAGATACATATTCGAATCAAAAAGTACATCGTCATGTTAAACTATTTAAAATTTTTTGTTAGCATCAATCAGCTTCGTGGTTGAAGTTACTGCATGTACGTAATCAAAGGGTTGTGCGGTGTTTGGTTGTATTGCTGGATTGGAACAGTTTACGCTGGTCTGTCTTAAGCCCCACCGGGAATGGCCAAATGGTCAAAGGTGAATCGAATGCTGTCTTTCTGCATAACCTTGTCTTGTCGTAGCAGCTAAAGTATTTATTTTGTACAGAAACTAGAATACAAACCTTTTGAGTTAAATGCAGCTTAATATTGTCGGAAATTATTGGTGATTGACTTTGGCGCGGCAGTAGCTACCATCGTAGTTATAACGGACCTGTCTGTTTAACACCACAAATTTTAGTTTCCATCGATCCCCTTTTCTTATTTAAGGTGTTGGCTGCACTTTCGCTTTCTATGGCAAAAAGGATAATAGAGTGCATCACTCGCGTCGGCACCATTCACACCTCAGGTGTTTCATTCAGCCGACTTTCTTGTGCTTTGTGTTCTTTCCTCGATTGATCATTTCTATGCTCCGTTTGATTGCCAAGTTTTAGTCCACTACTCGAATCCCCTAGAAATCCTTCCAAGCCTAACTTTTATAAACCTAGTTAAAAAGGTACAAATGCGATCTTTGCTGTTTCTTTGGTCGGCCTTGATTGACCTTGTGTGTAGGGACCTGCTCTGAGGTTTGGACCTCCAAATTTATGTGCCATCGTGTTTTACCTGATTTTTTTGGCTGACGTTGTCACGTACATATTTTGTTGGGACCTATTTGTGACCTATCCTAAGTACGTCGGTGGTCGTATTTATTTACTCACGACTCCACTATAAGAGCACAATTCGTTTTAAGTAAAATCGTTTTGTGCAAAATTTTTCCTTTATTTATCAATGTCACACACATCAGAACTGAATAAATTGAACGCCTTGTTACATTTTTGAACATGCCGCTCGGATAAGTAGGGGCTGGCTCATAGTGCCACCGTTTGTGGCATCTGGGCGTATTTTTCCACCGACCAGTCTGCCTCACAGGCATAAATCGTTAAACAATTTTCCAAAAATATTATTCTATAATCGGCATTCTTATTCCTGTCTGTACTTGAGGGTGTTCGTTTTTTGCTTATGCAGAAAATTTGCCTCGCAAACAATGTGGGCGGTGGACTACTTTCATTCCGTGTATTTTAACATTGAAACGAAAAACCCGTGAAACTCCACAAGGGTATAAATACAATTTACGGAAAATAGGACGCTTGACGTTATTTGCGTTTGGGTTTGGTTTGTATTGATAGGTGCCGTTGTACTCTAATTTGCGCTTGCGTTAGTGCTGATTACTGGTCAAAGTCGTTTAGCGTCATCGTGGCGCGTGGTCACAATGTTTATTCATTACTAAATAGCAGTGGTCAACGTCAACAATGAGTAATCACACTACAGTGTTGACTCCGCAAGTATTGGATCCTAGATTGTGTTGATGTTAAAACTAACAAATTTACCCAAAAGACATCTCTTGCGGACCTAGTGTTTATGGCGGGAGTGGACTTGGGACCGTATCGTGAAGCATTTGAGTACTTTGCTACTCTGTCAATTATAGACACCTTCAGTCTTAGAATCTCGCCTGTTTTATCTTTGCTATATACTAGTTCACAAAGAATTCATTCTAACACTATGTGAGCCAAATGGAAAAAAAGAAAATGCATTAAATCATTACGTTGAACTGAATTTCCGCTTCAAACATGATCGTTTTTCGCGAAATTATGTAGAGCCGGGTTTTCACGAAGTGTTCCGGAAGATCATCAAGTTTGTGCGGTCTCTTCAGTGCTTTTTTCGCATTAAAGCCATGATACTGCACGAACATGTGATGGATCGAAAATTCAGCATCTCATGGTGCCACCAAGAACCTTTTCTTTAATTATGATACTAGTGCAAATATCTGAAGGTTCCGGCTTTCAATCTTTTCATGCATAATTGACAAAAACCTGTGTCCGACCTTCAAGGTGTCAATTAATAATATTCATTTTCTATTCATTAAGCAATTAAAGTGTGATAGTGAGTTTGTCCTTTTTTATGGTAATATTTGGGTCTGTGCTGAGTTCGGTTGCCCTGGCCGCGTTGTTTGGGGACTTGCTTCACGGTTGTCAAGTTTGTGTGTATGGTCACCTTGTACTATCATGCATGTACGCGTTTTCATTTCTCAAATAAGAAAATAAGCCTTTGGGGTTTGAGAGGCCACTTGGGTTTACTCAATTACGAGCTGATGCATTCTTCAGGCTCTAGTTAAATCGTCAAGACCGCTATTCGGCGCACACGTTTTGGTGTAAAGAAGGCGCTTACGCCTGTCAATTAGTTTGTTAGAAGTTCTTTAATTCCCTCCGTACTTCTAGCCGTTAAAGTCGAGAACGCGCATGAATAACTCTATGGAAATGTTTGTCATTGTAGCATAAACTCTATCTTTTTTGTTCCTAATTCTACTTATCCTAAGAATGTTATTACGAAGGTTTTATAATGAAGTGTTGGACAGTGATGAAGTACGAGGTAGCCTCGAATTGTCTCCTTCGACATGATCCCCTAGTGAAGGAAAGGTCTTGTTGCAGATGCGGTGGGTCGGTGATGTTCACGGACGATAAGTTGCTT